TTCCAACACTTCAAATGCTGCTCAGCGCAGCATCAGCACCGTGGAAATACACGGATACATCCGTAGACTCAAGACAGAATTCACAATGTGTTTTCAGGACTTCCAGGTGTATGGACCAATGTTTTCTGTTCTGATCAAACCAGAAAGCTTTAATGAGCAGCTGGATTTGTCTCGCATTAACTGGCTGAGTTAATGCCAGTTAATGTGACATCAAAATGCAGCTGATTGAAGTGAAAAGCTCGACTCTGTGGGGGTCAAAGTTTGCAGAACTAGGAACTAGGAATCCATAGCTGTGCGTGTTCATGGAGCTTGCATTTTCGCCTGCTGGACATCACTACCTGACAAGTTTAACTGTCTTCAGAACATTGCAAAGGCCTTATTGACAGTATATGGCTCTACATATCAATGTGAGCAGATTTTCTCTCACACGAAGAGTGTCCTCAGGCAGCCGTCTGAATGCTGGACACTTGGAGACCTGTGTCTCTGAGTGGGAGAGGATAGATCACATTAACATGTGTATCTCTGTATTAACAAACATGCCATATTGGCCCAGTTTATTTTTCTTATCATTGTTGTGAGAAGACCATAAATAGCATTTTTGCATTTTCTGTTGTACATTTCCTTTGCTGTTCTTGTTATGGATAAAAAGTCTTTTTTTGTTTCAAAATAGCTGATAACAATTCACTGATAGCTGCCAGCATCTGTGAACAAATATAATTCTATAAAGTTGTTCTATATAGTGTGTAACTGTTAATATAGAGCGTTATTAAATATTAAAGGGCGATCGTGGCTTAAGAGTTGGGAGTTCGTCTTGTAATGGAAGGTTGCCGGTTCGAGCCCCGGCTCAGACAGTCTCGGTCATTGTGTCCTTGGGCAAGACACTTCACCTACCGCCTACTGGTGTTGGCCAGAAGGGCCCATGGCACGATATGGCAGCTTCTGTCAGTCCAACCCGCTCTGGTCAGTCTGCCCCAGGGCAGCTGTGGCTACAACTGTAGCTTGCCATCACCAGTGTGTGAATGGGTGGATGACTGGATATGTAAAGCGCTTTGGGGTCCTTAGGGACTAGTAAAGCACTATACAAATACAGACCATTTACCATATTGCTAATGCAATCATATGGCACATTGACTGCTGAGGACGTTTTTAGATGGCACTCATCATCAGAAAGGTTGCCGACCTCTGATTTAGACTAAGGTAAAAGGAACACGAGGATATTCAGATAAGGTTGTTCTAAACAGAGAGACTGAGAGAGAGAGCGGAAACAGCAGTGCCAGCTTTATTATTTAATGTGGTTGAAGAATGGCAAATAAAAAGAGTGCAAAAACAAAAAAGATGAATTCTTGAAATCTTTCAAAGACATATCTCAATAAAAGACTGAAAGTTATATTTCCATTTTCATCAGCAACAATAGAAATGAAGAAAAGTTATTCAGATGTATACGTGATAGCCAGATACAATGTGGACATTGGACAAGATTCTACATACACTGTTTAGACTGAATTTGGACGTAGCCCCAAATCTTGTTCCGTGTAAAATGATATACCTGTACATGGCAGTAAAATCTCTGAACTGGAAAAATGTGACTTAAATCAGCAAGTTTCACTAAGTTTTAATAATGCATTTCCATCAAGGTACTACAGGGGCAATATTTGGAGAAAGATGCATAATGGTAATCAGAGAAAAACTGCTCTTCTTGAGGGCAACATATTTAATTTGCAGACTTTTAATGACAAAATAAACTGTGATAAACTTTGTGGTCTCCTTAAGAACAATGTGCGAATTATTTCAGACTAGCTGCCTCATCGTTTATGTCATGGTCCTAGGTCTTTGACCCAGTGTTTGGAGTTTTTGGAATTTCGCTGTGAGTTTCCATTCTCACTTTTATTTTTGTTATCCTTTGTTTGTTGTTATTCTTGTTTTGAGTTTGCCTATTATCCCTGTTTCAGTTTATTCTGCCTCTTTGACTTCTTTCCGGCTGGATTTTGTTCCTTTGAACTATGTAACCTAAAAAGCAATCATTAAACGTACAATACCTCTCAATTTCACCCATCTGTGTCAGAGTCCGCATTTCATGACAGTTTAGCCAACCCTCCTCAAAACAGATTAATATAACAAAATAGGGACATAGCCACCGTTTTGGTGCGTGGCGTGCATTTTTAAAGTTTTGTTTTTCAGCTGTCACCATTTTTAGACCTGTGACTCCTTTCAGCTCTTACTAACAAACATGCACCTTGGATGACAACTAGACAGATTTAACTGCACAAGTGGTTGATTTTCTTTTTCAATCTCTATATACAACCATTGCTTTGTGAAAGTATTCTGGACGCTCTCAAATACAACAAGTGAACCAGGCAGAGACCAGAGACCGAGAGGCATTACTTTTACTCCAGATGCCCTAAAAATACCTCGGTTCACTCTGATTAGAGATGGAGGATGTAGTAGGGAAGATAGATCCCTCAATAAATGTTTTGTGCAATCACTGCCCAGATCTGGATAAGTGGTAGAAAATAGATGGATGACTGCTGTTGATCAGCTGGCGTTTCTGCTTATCACATACCTCCAGCCATTTTCCATTGTGAGTCATGAGTTTCAAGAATGTGAACCCTTGCGTAACCTTAAAAACAGCAGCTCCACAAGATAGGAGCTGAATCTACAAAGGTTGTCGCTTTCAAACAAGATTCACACAAAGCAGTGCTATTCTAATGATTAACCTCTTCTGTCCAACAGCAGTGAGCTCAAGTGTGTATTTTTGTAGAGTTTCATATCAGGTTGGACTCCCCGCTGACAGCTATGAATAGGTTCCTAGTATTTGTTTCACATCACTGCAAAAGAACATCAAACACCTGAGTTTCTCAGTATCAGGTTTCTGAAGACAAATTAAATCTAACACATTATTGACCTCAGGAAGAGTTATCTTTGTTCGACTGGATAGCAGTTAATATCTTTAGAATGGTTAACCTCTGCACATGAAAAGGTTTGTTCAAGTGATACCGAGTGAGAGTGAGCTTTCTCTGCATTGATCTGATTGTCTGTGGTTTTGGCTCAGATCAATAACTTTCTATCTTTTATTTCAAGGCATAATCTTTCAGATGTGATTCTTTTATGTGAGAGTATCTTATTCCAAAACAATAAGCAGAATGGGATATTGTGTCTTTGTGTCTTACTTAACAAGACTGAACATCTACAGCCAGACTCAAAACTCTGTGAGTCTGTACCTCAGAGGAAAAACAGTAAATGCCAGTATCACAATGCTAACATCCTCAAAATTACAATGCAAACATGATCATTCTTCTATAAACTGTATAATAATAATGGATGTAGTTTCTGGTGCTACAAAATGAAACCTAGTAGAAGTGCCTGAATTTGCCAAAAGGGGGCGACTGCAAAAAATAAGTCACATTGTATGGAAGTCTTTGACAAAAGCCACTAGGTTACTTTTTACTAGATTTATTCACTGGAAAAACATTTTCCTATTGGGTTTAAGTCTCAGTTGCTGTATAGCACACAATTAAACAAAATTTGCTAATTTCTAAAGACCCTGACTGATGGCAAGATGGTTAATGAAGGCAGAAATGGATCACTCCCTTGTGCAGCGCAAACAATAAATACCTAGTGCTTCAGCTGATTCACCACCTAAAGAAAACAATAACAAGGAAATATTTAGTAGTCAGTACTGTGAAAGCAACCTGTCTTATAGGTTTAGAGAGACTGGGGATTTTATGAGCTGCAGCTCGAGAGTGCCATCTGTTGAGAGAAGCTTTCTTATCCTAACATGGTAACACCAGCTAAAAAGGCAAAATCAAACATCCTGGGCACTGCTATTGCTCACTGGGGTAAGCAGGTGATTGCTGGGTTTGAATCTACTCCAAAGCCAAATGCTCTGTCTCCAAGCATTCATTACGTCTCCCACATTGAAAAAAAACAAACAAAAAACATACAACTGCTACATATGTTTCCTCCCCCCAAGTAATATAAAACATAAATCTGAATTGGGGTAGAAAATTGGTTTTATTGTTTTAAAAAAGAAAAAGAAAATGTCAACGGTAATTTGAACCCTCAAAGTTGGCTAGCTTGGTGGGTTCAAAATGGTAATCCAATGGTGTGGTGCTATTGGTTACATCTACACAGAAGGTGATGTAAATTTGGCGGGTCCCAAGATAAACTTTGAGACAAGTATTTGAAGCGACTGCTGATGAGAGAGCACGATACCGGTGACTCACAGATAACCTGCCAGCAAATTAACTGGGTAGCCACAGGCTGGAATGTCCAATAGAGACTAACCATCACCTTCAAAGTGATGGTTGATGAGCGAATCCCTCATTGTCATCCTTGTGTTGATGCAGCTTTATAGTTCTAGCATCCTAGCATGCAAACATGTCTGCACTGGTAACATATTGATGTTTGCAACATTTGGAATTGTTCTTTTTTATAATATTAACCATTTTAGTTTTTTACTTTAGCATGTTAGCATTTGTGCTAGCAAGTAACAATACTAAGAAAATATACAGAATGTTATTCGATTTGAATAAAGTAACTTGCTTTGTCTGTAAATATTATGTATAAAACAATGGCAAAATAAAATTACACTTCCTTCTGGCATCAGAAAATGGAAAAAGGATTAGATTACATAATCTTAGAGATTTTAATGAACTGCTCCAAATTTTACTCTCGCTGGCAGTGTAGCTTTGTGAAAATGTCATATCTTTCATCCCTTAAAACAGATTGAAATGCATCAGTTAGATCAGGGGTGTCGAACTCCAGGCCTCGAGGGCCGGTGTCCTGCAGGTTTTAGAGCTCACCCTGGGTCAGCACACCTGAATCAAATGACTAGTTCATTACCAGGCCTCTGGAGAACTTCAAGAGATGTTGAGGAGGTCATTTAGCCATTTGAATCAGCTGTGTTGGATCAAGGACACATTTAAAACCTGCAGGACACCGGCCCTCGAGGCCTGGAGTTCGACACCTGTGAGTTAGATGGACTACCATAACAGGGTATATTAAGGCACATGGAATTTCAATGAATACTTCACACAGTGTAGCTTGTTGGTGGTCAGTATTGACAGGTCAGCTGGTATAATTATGGTATAATACTTCACTAAAGCCTCAAATACTGTAGTAAAAATATTATATTCAATTCAATTCAATTCAATTTCTTTATTGTCCCACAAGGGGAAATTAGTTTAGCAGCAGGATATAAATAAACAGAACAATACTATAAAATAATAATGACAATAATAGTGATAAAAAGTCCAAGGACAGTTATTTGCCATTGAGCTCATCAAATACATTTAAATGGAAACTTTCACCACAAGGTTGTAGCATTTTACCAAAAACATTAAGTGTAGTTGTCCACCCCAACCAGGATTACATACTTCTATGTACTTTTAAAATTATTTACTTCCTAACAGAAGATTTCTACCTAACCTAATGCTTCTAAACTGCATCATCTCTGGTCTTGTAACTAAAGGCTAACGCGAATTGGGTACAAATTCTGGACTCGATGTGGTTCCAGTTCATATTACATGAGAATACAGCCTGACAATGTTTTAACTTTAGCTGACATCTCTGCGATGCGATACATCAGGGTTTAAGCAACCTTTAAAGATTGGGTCATGTCAGGGAAAAACTTGCATTAATCATACTTAAAAAAAGAAAGAAAAAAAAAGATGTTTCAGAGATATTTCAGAGATTGTATTCCTTGTAGAACACCTGTCCTATCACTGGTGCATTGTGTTTGTAGCAGCTAGCTTAATGCAGAAATAAATAGCTACAATGAGATATAGATTTCACTATTTAGTAAAGAGATATGACACCAAAGAGAACATTTCACACATACTGTGTTTCAGGCCGCCTGTGTCATTCACTGATTTAACCTCAGTAATTTTGAAAATGCCCATTGTGATTTGTGAGCATAAAACTGTGCATTCCTACACCGAGTTATTTTTTTCAGAGCACAATTGAATGCTTAACTCAAAAGAGCTTTGTCCCCCCCACCGAAATGCAGACATTTCTATTTCTAACATTAAAAATTGTTACATTTTGTTCAGTACCAGGGCTCTGTTATTGTGCATTCAAACACAGTGGGGCACACTTTAACCTGTGCATTTCCTGTTATACGTCTAAATGTTTGCTGTGAGATGAGGAGTCATTAGGAGCTCTACCATATGACTGCAGCACCGTTCCTTATGAACACGGTTAGATTGATTGTCCTTTGTTTTTTGGTCCTGAAGAAGCTTGGACCAGCTCAGAAGGCTTTAATCATTCATATTATTTAACCTTTAATGAATTCCCTGATTACATACACAACAACAACAACAACACAAGCATATATACTAAACTAGACTGTTTTGTTTTGGTTTTAATTTTTATCTAAAGAAAATAAAGGATTAAAGGCAAAAGAAAAACTATGAACAACCGAAAGGTTCCTTCTGGCTTGACTGACACCTCCCACTTAAACTAGCAAAAGCTCCGCCTCAGCCTTCTATCTTGTTGAGAACTTGAGGCTATAAAATGAAGGAACTTACTGTAACCAGTTCACAGTCTTTACTTAGAGTTCCGTTTGTGAACTCCTTAACAGAAACTACAGTAAATCTAATGCTTTAATCAGTGAGAACACAATAGCGCTGTCGGCTTTTCCTTTCACTTGGCGACCTGAAAACCGTGAGCTGAACCATGGCAGGAGACGGGTCAGATCAGCGGGCGCTGCAGTATGAACAAACTCTTGTAAGTCTTCGCTTGTCACCACTCTGAACTTTGTTCCCTTGTTCGACAGTGCGTCCACTTCTCTTGGGTTGGCGGAGAAGCCACCGTGTGCCCCTTTTTGCTCGTTAAACTGTTGGAGACAACGATAAAGAGCAACGTGTGAGCCAAGTGTGGCCAAAAGCTGGAATAGAGATGAATGAAGTGTGGGGCAGTATGTACGTGCCGAATTCAACGGTGTGCCTATGTGACTGTGGAAATTTCTTGTGGAGTGTGTATGCGGTAGAAAACACACGTTTTAAGTATAAATTGTCACATTTTAAACGAAGTTCAACCTCCGGGTGTTCTCACGTGAATGGTCGAGGTTTGCGGTGTCGGAAGCCTGCTGTGTCGGGCTAATGTGTCCTTAATTCCGTAATTGCAAGTCATGTATTCTTGTGAATTAACATGAGCTAATTCCTAAACTGGTGAACACCACACACTGAATTTCTCCGGCTTGCGGCTTCGCTGTAGCTCTGGAAGTAAAGGTGTTTGTCCGAACATCTGGATTTGGCTCTGTCAATAGGTAGCAGCCGATAACACCCACGCAAGAGTTCAGCCAAACTCCACTGTTAAAAAAATAATCTGGCCGTAAGAGTCGTCTGTATTGTCATAATACCACATAAGAGGTTACTTACTTAATTGCAGTTTTAATGTGTAAGTGAGTTTATTAATTCGGCATACAAATTATACCAGTTTGCATCAAACAGTACTGCATTTCCAACCGATGAACGCAACCGTACTATTAGATGCTTTATTAGCTAAATGTAAATTTTGCAGTGCATATCTGACTGCCAATAAGTAAATTAATCTTGCTGGACAGCGTTTTGTCAAGATTTAAATTGCTACAATGCAAGCGCCATTTGACGAATAAATTAAATGCCTGTTAGATAGTTTGGGTAAACATGCACATGTCATAGGGATTACTGGTAGTGTCAGGAGCACTGGATGTGTATACAACCACCAGCATCAGACAATGGATCAATTCATCGTTGATTAGCGGCTTGGGTGCAGAAGCAACGTTGTGATGCAACTGGCAGCTGTGCAAGTGTCTCGTGCAGCACCCACATCTGGCTCACCATTGTTATCGTAGGCCATCTTCTTTATCTTGCTTTTTTATTTTTTTATTTTTTATTTTTATTTTTTTTTATTACACATTACACAAGCAGTTGTCAGAAGTCCTAGAAAGTCTTCATGCAGCTTTGGATGACTGCTTTTAGACCTGATTTAAACAGCAGGGGGCTCCCACACATTTTAATGCCACAGGGCCTCAAATGAATAGAGATCAGGGCCTGTAGGTTCCCACTCCATAAGAGGACTAAGTGAGGGATTTTAATTGGTAAATTTGAGCACATCCCTCAGAATGGTTACAGGGCAGGCTTTAAGCTGAGAGTCCCCCTCGTGTGTGTGCGCGTGTGTGTGCGTGTGCACTTTTCCTGACAAAAACAAAACTTTGGTCAAGCCTAAAGAATTGGCTGTTTGAAGAGACTAGTCTTATAGGCCAACTGGATCCATTCAGCGGCACTGAGGCTTTAAATTAAGAGGAGCCACAACTGTAACACTTGTTTGGGCCTCTGTTTCTTTTTTCTTGAAGTTTCGTTTGCACAAACACGCACACACAGACACACTCGGCCCTGTCCACCCTGCCTCTGCTAGTGTGTGTGTGTGTGTGTGTGTGTGTGTGTGTGTGTGTGTGTGACACACAGTGTGTGTGTGTGTGTGTGTGTGTGTGTGTGTGTGTGTGTGTGTGTGATTACACAACTTGCGACCCGCTGATTCAGCACTGGACGCTCTGTCACCCTGGCAGGGTCTCGTGCCCGTTCCTTCAGCTCTCGGAAAGAAAGAGGGAGGAAGAAAAAACGTGTTCAGACTACTTCCTTTGTTAATCTCGGCTTACTTCACAGCATATAGAAGATTGTTACAGGAACAAAAATTGTGAAATGGAATCAAATAAAAATAGCTCCAGTGTGCGAATAACCTCTTTTATCATAAATGAGTTCTCTCTCTGCCCCCATCCCCTCGCCGTGGGTTGTAGTAACATGGTGTCTTTGTGCAATATTGGCAGTCGTGGTGGTTGTGTGGGTTTTGTTGTGGGCAGTGGATGCTCAAAGAGGCCAGTGTAGTTTGGCTGTTAGGAAGGCTGAAAGGCTGGCTGTACAGAAACACTGGCAGAAAAGCAGCCTCAACATATTGTCGGCTAACATCAGACTAACACGTCAGTTTGTGCGTGTAGCTGATTTTCGGCTGTTTCTTCAAGAACATAAAGTTACATTTGCGCGTGTTTGAATGGTACATGGTGTGAATCTAGTGTATAAAGTTACGTAAGCATACGCACATCTTTTGTTGCACGAATTATCAGCAAATGACACCTTCAGTCAAGAAGTAATATTTTTGACCTTCATAACTGTCAATTGCAAGGCTAACATTAGCAAATCATTTTTGAAATGAGCAAGAGAATAAATAACTGAGCAAATGTTAAAGACTTCTTCTTCCAAGAAGTTGTAACAAAACTGTTTGATAGCATTTTAAGGGTTTGGCTTTTCTTTTTTTTTTTTAAGCTCAAACGTAAGGTTTTAATAGGTCTTGTACAGTGGTGTGAGTAGCCTATCAGATGTCACAGGCTGATATTTATGACATTTGCCGTGGCGACCGCTATCATAAGCAATAAAGTGAAATCCTGTTTGTCGGTGTTGCTCCAATTTATTTGCAAAACTGTGCGAACATGTAATAATTAACAGAACGATCACACTGGTGCCAAACACGGAGTGCACACGACACGCGAGCTTCTTTGGAGGCGCTAAAACAGTTGGATTACTCGTCACGAGGAATGCTAATAAAGTTACGGAAAGTGTTGTAATGCCTCCTGCAGCTATAAAGATTCCAAAAATAACCCTGAACAAAGGACATAATGGAAAGTGTCTCTGTTGCAATCTGGAGTTTAAATTAGAGTTTTAAAGGGAGTTGGTGACAACAAGAGATTCCATCACGTTGCATTATGATAATTGCAAGATGCTAACAAGTATGTTATTTATTCATTAAAAAAAAATGAACCCCCTGAGACTTAAATATTTCTAACCTTAACCCTACGCTATCAGATATGTTGTCTATTTACTACTTTTCTGCTTTTCAAGATTGCGAAGTCTTCAAAGAACAATCAGGGGCCAGAAAAAAACAGATGAAAAACTCTTCTTCTTCTAAAGAAAAATGTTCCCAATAACACTGCTTTTATCAAAACGTTGCTTTTTTTTTTTTTTAAATTTATTTTTTTTAGTCCAAAAAAAAGACACTGTCCACATACCAATGAGACTTCTATGCATTGGATCATGTATTTTTACTATTAGATGAAAATAATGAAATCAGCAGAGGCTTAGCTTAGAGGCTATGAAAGCTAAGGGTAGCGCTGGCTTAGAGTCCAGAGATGGATTGACTACAAACTAACATAAAGCAGGAAACTTTAAAGATACATTTTCTGTAGAGTGTCAAAGATGTTCATATTGGAGCGTGACCTATTATAAAATGTTTGACGGGTACACTCCTGTACTGATTCTGGTAAAGTCTGACTGGAAGACGCTGCTTCTCACCCTGATATTCTAGTGTTGAAGAAAGTTTTCAGCATCTCTTAATGTGGAATTGGCACCACTGAATGGGCAACTTTCCCCACTAAATGACTGAGTAAATTGTGTAGTGTATAAAGGTGTGGCATTGTTAGACGTTAGAGTCCTAACATTGTGGACAGCCAGCTGATCACCACCTTTGCCCTTTTATCTCACTCACTGGCTTTGATGGCTTGCTATTACAGTGTGACATGGTATGTGTGGAGGCTTACGACCAGCTATTCCAGAACCCGTATCAGTGTGGTTGTTGGGCGTGCATGTTCAGTAATTCAGAAATGAGTGATAGGACAACAAGCGAATACAGAGTTAAAGATGGTCACTGATTGTGCTCGTCTATGGTGATGCAGGATGACACAAAGGCAATGCTGGAACCTTATTTCAGTCAGACTGTTTCATTGGAAGGCAAGTTACGGGCAGGCGTATTTTGTGACAGCAGGTCTTCTGATTGGGAATGTGCTTCCATTATTATACTGACCGAAGGCGATGAGGAAGTGAAAGTGTCAGCTAAAGAAGTATGGAGACTTCATAATTTGCGAGTCCATATTTCCCTGTGTTTGTGGGGTGGCTCTGTGGGTTGTGTCCATTTGTCTTGCTGTGACACAGAATCATTTGTAACCTTGCGTCTGTCGCCTCACTGTGGTAATTTTTTGTTTGAAGCTTGCTTCCCAGCATTCATAGTGGAAATTTCCCTTCACTGGATCTCTCTCTGCTTCATTATGCCTTGTGGGTGAAGTTTTTTCTTCTTCTTTTTTTCTTTTTGCAGACCGGTCAAGAGCTACTTGACCCCCTGCTTTTGACTGTATGCAGAAAGGGCTGTTTGCATAACCTAAGCTGGCTCTAACTGCAGATAAGCTTCAAAAGCCTCTAACAAGTTTTCTTTCTGTCACAAGAGATCAAGCATTTAGTTTTTTTTCTCTTTCATAAACTGATGTGTCCACCTGTATTTACTCTTTCACAAACAGTTGTGATGGATTTGCCTCTTGGTGTTGAGGGCTCTTGAGGATGGTTTCAGAAAAGCAAAGTTCTTAAACCTGTTAATGATGAAACCACACGTAGTAACGGTGCATTTGGCAATCACTTCACAGGCCAGGACAAATGGAGGCCGGGCCTTTTTAGGTAAAACAAAAGCTGGGATGTGCTCGATAGGCCATTAGATTAAAAGGATGAGGCAGTTTTTAGTGTTGAGGCGTGTCTTGTGATTAGTGCCACACAATTTTTTTTTTCTTTTTTTCTTACTCCTCTTGAGTCCTTAACAAATATGGATCAGAGAAGAGATCAAAAACAGATCTTAGGCAAATACGGGAGATACAGCAGAGCTGATTAGAAACTCTCAACGAGGTGATGTCAATTTAAAAAAAGAAAAAAGAATGG